GGGAGGGACTCGCTGGCAGCGGGGTTGGCGTCGGGGGGAGGCCCGGCCGTGTGAGGGGAGGGGAGGGCTGGGGACTCGTGAGGGAATTGAGGGGTCCTGTGAGGGGAGGGGGGCTGGAGGGGACTGGGAAGTGCTGTGAATTGTTATTTGGGAAGGATAGCGGGGAAAAGAGAGCGAAGGAATGGGCTGGGAAGCACAGGGAGCGCTGGGAGGAGGCACTGGTGGGATTAAGGGGCACTGGGAGGGGGCACTGGTGGCACTGGGAGGCACTGGGAGGGGGCACTGGTGGCACTGGGAGGCGCTGGGAATGCTGGAGGGACAAGGAGGCAGCAGCGGGAACAGATCCTGGGACACTGAGAGGGGACCGGGGGTACTGGGAGGGAACTGGGGGCACTGAGAGGGTACTGGGGACACTGGGAGGGTACTGGGGGCACTGGGGACACTGAGAGGGGATGGGGGGTATTTGGAAAGGACTGGGGACACTGAGAGGAAATTGGGGATACTGGGAGTGGATTGGGGACACTGGGAGGGGATTGGGGGTACTGGGAGGGAACTGGGGGCACTGGGGACACTGGGAGGGGACTGGGAGGCCAGCCCAGGTAAGTGACCTGTGCAGTCCCAGTACTCACACCTTGGTGGGGCACTGGGAGTGACTGGGAGGCACTGGGAGCAATGGGGGCTGAGCTTTGGGGGTGTCTCAGGGGCTCCCTTGTCCCAGCCGTGAATTTTTGGGCAGAAAAGTTTTGGGAAGAGGCCAAATTCCAGCTTTGGGATCAAATTCCAGCCTTGGGATCCACATTCCAGCTTTGGGATCCACATTCCAGCCTTGGGATCCACATTCCAGTGTAGGGATCCACATTCCAGCCTTGGGATGCACATTCCAGCCTTGGGATCCACATTCCAGCCTTGGGATCCACATTCCAGCCTTGGGATGCACATTCCAGCCCTGGGATCCACATTCCAGCCCTGGGATCCACATTCCAGCTTTGGGATCCACATTCCAGCCTTGGGATCCACATTCCAGCCTTGGGATCCACATTCCAGCCCTGGGATCCACATTCCAGCCTTGGGATCCACATTCCAGCCCTGGGATCGCACATTCCAGCCCTGGATTCCGGTCTTGGGAGCATCCCAGATTTCAATCCTCAACGTGCTGGGCTCAGAGAGCAAATCCCTCTTCCCTCCTTATCCCATCAAATCCCAGCTGGACACATCCAAGGCACCTTTGGAATTTGATTAATTCATTATTTTATTAGGAATTAATTAAAAATTTGGAATGGGGAGCTCTGGAGAAGATCCTTGTCAGGACAAGGCTGAGGGATGGGGAGGTTAGGAAGTGTTCTGTGGGTTTTTTTTTTTGGAATCAATGGAATCATTCCAAGAATTTCCCTTGTTGATTTTTTTTCCCCTTTTAGGAAAGACACATCCGACTGCTCGGATCGAGCCAATGGACCTTCCCAAATGGAAGCTCTTTCCTTGGAATCTGCCAGCAGGGAAGCTTATTTCAGCAGAGTGGAAACATTCACCATATCCTTTGGAATGCTGGGAATTCCAGCTTGGAATTGTGGGGGAAGGGATCCAGAGGGAGCATCCATCCAATTCCCGGCCTTGCATCCCGAAATTCCACCCCCTGTCCCCTGAGAGTTCCTGGAGATTTGGAGCTGTGAGAATCTGGGGGAAGAGTCTTTCCCAAAAATCCTGGCTTTTCCTAAAATCCCACTGCTTCCTAAAATCCTGCCTTTTCCTAAAATCCTGCCTTTTTCAAAATGTTTTCTAAAATCCAGCGTTTTCCTAAAATCCAGCTTCATCCTTAAATCCCACCTCTTCCTAAAATCCAGCCTTTTCCTAAAATCCAAATTTTTCTAAAAGCCCACTTCTTCCTAAAATCCTCCCTTTTTCTAAAATCCTCCCTTTTCCTAAAATCCTGCCTTTTCTAAAATCCAGCCTTTTCCTGAAATCGAAATTTTTCTAAAATCCAGCTTCATCCTAAAATCCTGCCTTTTCCTAAAATCCAGCTTCTTCCTAAAATCCTGCCTTTTCCTGAATTCCTAATTTTTCCTAAAATCCACCCTCATCCTGAAATCCTGCCTCTTCCTAAAATTCTGCCTTTTCCTGAAATCCTGGCTTTTTCTAAAATCCAATTTTTTCCTAAAATCACACCTCTTCCTAAAATTCCACCTTTTCCTAAAACCCAGCCTTTTCCTGAAATTCTGCCTCTTCCTAAAATCCTGGCTTTTCCTAAAATCCAGCTTCTTCCTAAAATCCACCTTCATCTTACAATCCAGCCTCTTCCTATAATCCAGCCTTTCCCTAAAATTCAGCCTCTTCCTGAAATTCTGCCTTTTCCTGAAATCCCACTTTTTCCTAAAATCCACCCTCATCCTAAAATCCAGCATTTCCTAAAATCCTGCCTTTTCCTAAAATCCAACCTTCATCCTAAAATCCTGCCTTTTCCTAAAATCCAGCTTTATCCTGAAATCCAGCTTTTTCCTAAAATCCTGCCTTTTCCTAAAATCACACCTGAAATCCTGCTTTTTCCTAAAATCCAATTTTTTCCTAAAATCACACTATTTCCTAAAATCCTGCCTTCTCCTAAAATCCAGCTTCTTCCTAAAATCCTATTTTTTTCCTAAAATCCAGCATTTCCTAAAATCCTGCCTCTTCCTAAAATCCAACCTTTTCCTAAAATCCTGCCTTCTCCTGAAATCTCACCTTTTCTTAAATTCCAGCCTTTTCCTAAAATCCTGCATTTTCCTGAAATCCGAATTTTTCCTAAAATCCACCTTCATCCTAAAATTCCACCTTTTTTTTAAAATCCTGCTTTTCCTGAAATCCTGCCTCAAAATCTGGGATGTTTCCCACAACTCCAACAAAATCCGGGATGTTTCCCACAACTCCAACAAATCTGGGATGTTTCCCCATCCCCAAAAAACCTGGGATGTTTCCCCCACCCCAAAAAATCCGGGATGTTTCCCACAACTCCAGCAAAATCTGGAATGTTTCTCCCATCCCAACAAAAGCTGGGATGTTCCCCCAGCCCCCAAAAATCTGGGATGTTTCTCCCATCCCTAAAAAGTCGAGATCTTTCCACCCACTCCAAACAATCTGGGGTGTTTCCCCCATCCCTAAAAAATCCTGGATGTTCCCCCATCCAAGCAAAAGCTGTTTTCCCCCCACTCCAAAAAAGCTGGGATGTTTCTCCCATCCCTAAAAAAAATCCAGAATGTTTCCCCCATCCCATCCCAAAAAAAGCTGGGATGTTTCCCCCATTCCCGCAAAAGCCGGGATGTTCCCCTGATCCCCAAAAAATCCAGGATGTTTTCCCAGACCCAAAAAAACCCAGAATGTTTTCCCCATCCCCAAAAAACCTGGGATGTTTCCCCCATCCCTGAAAAAGCCAGGATGTTTCCCACATCCCTAAAAAACTGAGATGTTTACCCCATCTCCAAAAAAAGCCAGGATGTTTCCTCCATCCCTAAAAAGTCCAGAATGTTTCCCCCAGTCCAACAAAAGCCGGGATGTTTCCCCCATCCCCAAAAAACGTGGGATGTTTCCCACATCCCTAAAAAATCTGGGATGTTTCCCCCATCCCTAAAAAAGCTGGGATGTTTCCCCCATCCCCCAAAAACCCAGGATTTTTCCCCCATCCCAACGAAAGTCAGGATGTTTCCCCCATCCCAACAAAACTGGGATGTTTCCCCCATCCCCAAAAAATCCAGGGTGTTTCCCCCATCCCTAAAACAAACCAGAATGTTCCCCCATCCCCAAAAAACTGGGAATTTTTTGCGGTTAGCTCCTTGACGGGCTGACCCGCTGAGGTGGGCGGGCAAACCGGCGTCGCTGTCGCCGCTGGTGTGCGCCAGGTTGGGCTGGGTGAGCGTGGAGTGCGACATGCTCAGGTGCTCCAGCTGCCAGGCCTACCTGTGCGCCAGCCTGCAGCTGGCCCTGGACCTCAGCACCTGTGAGTGGGGATGGGCCGGGATTCCGGGATAAGCCGGGAATCAGGGATCAGCCGGGTTCTGGGATCAGCTGGGAATCCGGGATCAGCCGGGTTCCGGGATCAGCCGGGAATCCGGGATCAGCCGGGTTCTGGGATCAGCCGGGTTCTGGGATCAGCCGGGTTCTGGGATCAGCTGGGAATCTGGGATCAGCCGGGTTCTGGGATCAGCTGGGAATCCGGGATCAGCTGGATTCCGGGATCAGCCGGGTTCCAGGAGCGGGTCCCGCCAAGGGTTGGGTGTTTGGGGAAAAAGCGGAAGGGGAATAAGCGGGGTTTGGTGGGTAAGAGGTGCTGGGTTGTTGTTGGAGAAGGGAATTCCAGCTGGGAGAGGCTGTGGAATTGTAGGTGGGTTGGGAGGGATTTGAGAGCTTGTGCTGTTGTTGGCTGATTTTTCAGGGAATGGTGGTTCCAGGGAATGATGATCCCAGGAAATGGTGGTTCCAGGGAATGGTTATCCCAAGGAATGGTGATTCCAAGGAATGATGATCCCAGGGAATGGTGGTTCCAAGGAATGATGATCCCAGGGAATGGTGGTTCCAGGGAATGGTTCCAGAGTCCCAAGGGTTGGGTGTTTGGGGAAAGAGCGGAAGGGGAATAAGCAGGGTTTGGTGGGTAAGAGGAGCTGGGTTGTTGTTGGAGAAGGGAATTCCAGCTGGGAGAGGTTGTAGAATTGGAGGGGGTTTGGGTTGGGAAGGATTTGAGAGCTTGTGCTGTTGTCCAAGGAATGGTGGTTCCAAGGAATGGTGGTTCCAAGGAATGGTGGTTCCAAGGAATGGTGGTTCCAGGGAATGGTGGTTCCAAGGAATGATGATCCCAGAGGATGATGGTTCCAGGGAAGGGAGGTCCCAAGGATTGGCAGTTTCAAGGAATGATGGTTCCAGGGAATGGTGGTTCCAGGGAATGGTGGTTCCAAGGAATTACATTTTCAGGGAATGATGATCCTAAGGAATGATGGTCCTAAGGAATGATGATCCCAGGAAATGATGGAATTCTCACTGTAAAAAAATCTCTTTTTTATTCTGAGATAAATGCTCTGGCAGCCCCCCTTGTCCCCACAGCTCCTTGTCCTCCCCATCCTCTTTGTACCCATCCTTTAAGGTCTGGAAAACCCCAGTGAGGTTCCAAACCTCAAACCAGACCAAGGCAATCATCCAAAACATCCAAAACACTTCCAGGCTTTGGGGCACCGATCACCTCTCGGAATATTCCGGAGTTGGATCGTCCTGGTAGGGAACATTAGGAATTATCCTGATCCTGAGCTTCTCCTGGTGCAGCTTTGAGCCATTCCCAATCTCACGGGATTCCAGGGAGAAGAGCTCTGGAAGGTGCAGAATTCACCCCTCATCCCCCATTTCTCCAAACTATCCCAAGGCTCTCAGCCTCTTTCCGGCTTTTCCACACATTTCTCCAGCCTCGTTGCCTTCTGGAAGTATTTAGGGATTTTTTTTTTTTTTAAGGATCTGAAGATCCTTTTCAAAATTCTCTTTTAAAACTTTTCTTTCTCAATTCATGGACCTGCTTCCCTGATCCTCCAGGGAATTTTTCCAGTGCAGCAGTTGCTGGTCACCAAGGCCATTCAGGCAGAAATTACATTGGGAGATTTAATTAATAAATTAAAATTTTAATTTATTAAATTTAATAAATTAATAAATTTAATTAATAAAAATGTAATAAATTTAATTTTTAAAAATTAAAATAAATTTAATTAAATTTAAATTAATTTAAATTAATTAAATAAAATTAATAAATAAATAAATTATTATCCCACAAGGAAGTGTCATCCCCACTTCTCAATTTTCCTGGCTGCAATTCCCTTGGAAGTGAATCCTGCCATGTGGATCATGGGAATACTGAGCCTTTCCTTTTGGGTCACTCAATATCAACATTCCCTGTTTATTCAGATTATCTCTGTTAAATAAACCTTGGCCTAATTATTCCATTGGAAATCACACTAAAATAATCAAAGACTGGGGAAGAAAGCGTCGAAAAACAAATTAGAAAATAAATTTTTCTTTGGTTCTGAAAGCAGAAGTGAAATTTAAATATCAGATTTTTTTTTTTTTAATATATTTTTAATTTTTTTGGGAAGTTTGATTTCCAGACATGGCTGGAATTTGGCTCCTACAGCCGGGGTGGAGGGATCAGCTCAGCCAGGGATTGGCAGCATCCCGGGAGGAAAAACTGGCAGCATCCAGCAAGTTTTGTACCCACGGTTGGCTCGGGCTGTTTTTCCACAGGTTCCTGTGCCTGGGAATTTTGGGGGAGGTTGAAGGGCTCAGGTGACATTTGCTGTTCCCAATTCCTGGAATTCTTGCTGGGAAGTTTGAGGTGAAGCTTCAAGCTCTGCATCCTCGGGCAGCACCCCAGGGAAACTCTCCCAATCCTGGTGCTTCCTTCTCCTGCCTTGGTTTTCCCAGCGATTCCCTGAGGAGGTGGCTCCGCAGGGAATTATCCCAGAGTTTTTTTTTCCCTGCAGACAAGGAGCGCTGTGAGGAGCTCAGGAAGGCTCTGAGCACTGCCCACGAGAAGTTCTGTTTCTGGCCAGACAGCCCCTGCCCAGGTGGGTGCCTCAGATTCCTGCACCATCCAGCATCATTCCCAATTTTTTTCTTTCTCCCTTGTTCTTCCCGTCATCACACTCTCCTTTTCCCTGTGGGAATGATGGAATGCAAGAGGAAAGCAACATCCCTGAGCAGCCTCAGCGAATCCAAGCTGGATTAACTGCTCCAAAAGGGCTTTTCCTGCCCTTTGGGAGCAGTTAAAATGTTTTTGGGTGGTAACTGGGAGGGGACAGGGGAGCTTGGCTGTCATGGAATGCTCAGAGAGGGATAAATCCTGTCTTGGGAGCTGTGCTGAGCTTTTCCTTGAAAAGCCAGAAAAATAATCATGGAATTTTTGGGGTGGGAAAGGACCTTAAAGCCCATCCAGTGCCATGGCAGGGACACCTCCCGTTATCCCAGGCTGCTCCAAACCCCATCCAACCCGGCCTTGGACACTCCAAGGATCCAGAGGCAGCCACAGCTCCTCTGGGAATTCCATCCCAGCCCCTCCCCACCCTCCCAGTCAGGAATTCCTTCCCAATATCCCACCTAAACTTCTCCTCCTCCAGCTTAAGCTCATTCCCTCTTATCCCATCACTGCATTTCTGCGGAGACCCTGGCTGGTGGGAATCCTTATCCCATTCCCTGTGGGATAAGGAGGGGTTGGGAATGCTGAGCACAGCTTTTCCTCTCTCCAGATCGCTTTGCCAGGCTGCTGGTGGATGAGCCCAGAGTCCTTCTCCAGGATTTCCTGGATCGTTTCCAGAGCCTGTGTCAGCTGGAGCTGCAGCTGCCTTCCCTCAGACCAGAAGACCTGAAAAATATGGTGAGTTCCCTCCTGCTCCCAAAATCTGGAGCGCTCCAGGCTTCGGGGACCATCCCAAAATCAGGAATTTCAGCCTCTGTGTGCGTGTGAGGGATCTGCTCCCACTTGTTTTTTTTTCTCCTTGGACGTGTTCCAATGTTCCACCATGGAAACACGTCAAGAGGAGTTGGGAATGGCTCATTCCACAACTGGGAATTATTCCAAGCTGGGAATGTATCTGCTTCCCACTCCGGACTTTTCCCGGTGTCCAGGCTGCTCTGTGGTGCCTGGAGATGGGATTTGGGATCCCACAGACCCCTTTGGGAGCTCTCCAAGGCAGCCCACGGATTAGGGATTCCACACAGGAATTTGGGATGCCCTGGAGGTGTGGGCAGAGACCCGGGAAGCTGAAGGAGCCCGAGGAGGCTCCTCAGGCAGGAGGGAAAAGCAGGAAAAGCCAGGAACAAACGTGGAATTGCCACCCTGCAGGAACCAGAATGGCCTTGCTCTGCTGCAGCCAAGTCTGGCTCGTTGGACACTCCTTTGCCAGGGAACAGATGGCTCTGGGCAGCCCTGTGGGATCCAGGGAATCTTCATCCATTCAGCACAACCACGGGGATGTTTTGGGGCTGGCTGAGCTCGGAAACCACCGGAGACTCCCAAAACCACGGCGGGAACGGGACCTGCTCCACTGCTGGATGGAGCAGATTTGATGGAATGGGGAGCCAGAGGATTTCTCTGAGTGACTTTTCCCTGTTAGAGCTGGGAGTGCTGGACCATGCAATTCCAGAGGGTGGAATTGGGAATTTTTTTCTCCACGTGGGACGTGATTTGGGAACAAAACCAACGCATTTTCTCCCTTTTCTCCGCAGTCCCTGACGGAGGAAAGGATCACCCGGCTCCTCCAGCTGATTGGAGAGGAACTGGAGCACAAAGGAACAGAGGGAGAGAAACCTCCCGGGAAGTTTTCCACGGAAATCCTGCAGGTTCACGTTCCCGCCTGTATCCTGGCGCTGTGCGGCTGGACCTGCAGGTGGGCAGGGCCTGGAACGTCCCTCACGCTCTGGGCTTGCCATGAAAACTCTTGGAGGTCGGAGGGATGTGGAATGTTCCTCCTGTGGAATGTTCAGGATCCCTTTTTTCGCTATTTTTGTGTTTTCCCTTTTTTTCCCGCTTCCCTTATTTTACTCTTTTCCTATTTTCCCTCTTTTTCACCGTGCTCCTTCCTGCCTACCTGATTTTATTTTCCCGTTTTCCCTCTTTTTCACTGCTCTCCTGCTTCCTCTGTGTCACTATTTTCCAATTTCCCCTCTTTTTCACTAAGATCCTTTATTTAAATATTTTCCCACTTTACAACCGCATTCCCTCTTCCCTTTTTTCACCACTTTTTTTTCCCCCTCTTTTTCCCCCTCTGCTTCCTGGCCAGATAAAATGCAACTGAACCAGTTTAAATCATCATCACAGATGGGGTTTAATGGAATTTTTTTCCCCTGACTTTTCCAAGCTCAGCCTTATCCCTGACCACCTCTCCCGACTTTCCCCATCCCTGGGAATGTCCAAGGCCGGGTTGGACATCGGGGCTTGGAGTAACCTGGGATGGTGGGAGGTGTTGGAATGAGGTGATCTTTAAAATCCGTCCCAACCCATCCCATGGTTCCTTGAGGGTTCCTTGAGGATTCCGTGAGGATTCCGTGAGGTTTCTGTGATGATTCCTTGAGGATTCCACGAGGATTCCTTGAGGATTCCACGAGGATTCCTTGAGGATTCCATGAGGATTCCATGAGGATTCCATGAGGATTCTTTGAGGATTCCGTGAGGATTCCATGAGGATTTCCTGAGGATTCCATGAGGATTCCATGAGGATTCCACGAGGATTCCTTGAGGATTCCTCAAGAATTCCATGAGGATTCCACGAGGATTCCATGAGGATTCCGTGAGGATTCCACAAGGATTCCTTGAGAATTCCATGAGGATTCCATGAAGATTCCATGAGGATTCCATGAGGATTCCTTGAGGATTCCATGAGGATTCCTTGAGGATTCTGTGAGGATTCCTTGGGGATTCCTTGAGGATTCCGTGAGGATTCCTCAAGAATTCCATGAGGATTCCACGAGGATTCCTTGAGGATTCCAGAAGAATTCCATGAGGATTCCTGGAGGATTCCACGAGGATTCCTCAAGAATTCCATGAGGATTCCTGGAGGATTCCTGGAGGATTCCACGAGGATTCCATGTGTCTGTCCCCGCAGTGCTGCCTCGGGCTCCATGAACCTCTCCGTGATCACCTGCTCCCGCTGCATGAGGAAGGTGGGGCTGTGGGGCTTCCACCAGCTGGAATCTTCCGCGGCTCCGGAGCCGGATTCCTGCGGCTCCAGCAGCGCCACCCCGGCCGCTCCCGAGCGCTTCCCGCCCGTTCCCACATCCCCGCGCCGGATGCTGACGCGGAGCCAGGACCCGGGATCCGAGCAGGTACATCCTGGGCGCTGCAGGGACTCCAGGCTGGCCTCATCCACATCCACTGGATCCCAGGAGCAGCCACAGCTTCTCTGGGAATTCCATCCCAACCCTTCCCCACGCTCCCAGCCGGGAATTCCTTCCCGATATCCCACCTAAACCTTTCTCCTTGCGGCGGGAAGGGCTCTTGGAGCCGGACAACGCCGTTAATTCCCGTTTTTTTCCCACCCAGCAGCACGAGAAGAGCCCATCCCCGGCTGTGTCCCGCCCAAGGGGTTGGGATTCTCCCAGCTCCATGGACCGGGGCGAGCTGGATGTGAGCAGGGATGTGACGCTGAGGAGCCGCCCGGTGACGCGGAGCATGGGCCAGGGGGACAACATGGAGGTGCCATCCAGCCCTGTCCGCAGGGCCAAGCGAGCGCGGCTCTGCTCCTCCAGCAGCTCAGTGAGTGATCCAAATCCTGATCCAGGGATTTGCTGGAGTAGCCAGCTCAGGGGTGGGGTTTGGGTTAAAAAAAGGGTTTTTTAGGGGTTCTAAACCATTCTTTTGTTGTTGTGTCCCTTCTCTGTCACCTCCTCGCTTCCCCAGGACGCTTCCTTGAGGAGCTTCTTTCACCCCAGCTCTCAGCACCGGGATTGGTGTCCCTGGGTCAGCAGCGGGGAGGGAGAGGAATCCCTGGAAGATGCTGCATCCCAGACGGAGAAGGAACCTGGGAAAGCCAAGCCAGGCTGGGAAGTGGTGCTGAAGAGGCTCCTCAGCATCCAAAAATGTGACACAGAGCCCGAGACGGAGCCAGCGGTGAGCCCGGGGCGTCCCAAAAACCGGAACGCTGCTTGTGCAGGCAGCAAAAATTTGGGATGGAGGGGCTTTTTTTGGGATGAACACAATCCCAGGCAGGTGAAAAGGCATTCCCAAAAGCTCCATCCAAGGCCAGGCTGTGCCAGAGCTGCTCCAGGGCTGCTATAAATAACGGCCTCGGCGCTGCCCAAGATCCGGTTTCATTCCCTGTCCCCAGAGCTCCTCTCTGCAATTCCTGGCTCCAGGCTCTTGGATTGCCAGCGTGAAAAACGAGGTTCACTTTTTTTTTTTTTATAGATATAATATAGAATTTTTTTTATAAATATAGAATTTAAAGGTTTAATAGACAATTAGGAGATAAAAATAAATATACAGATAGGGCCGGGTGTCTCTGCATTCACCTCACTAACATATGATTGTCCCTTAAAAACAGAACCCTATTACATATCCATAAATTCTCATACATATTCAGACATTTTTCTTAAGTTTTGGATGTTTCTTTGTTTAGTTTTTAGCTTGCCCCCTTCCCAATAAATCAATTTTCTTGGCTCCACCAAGTTTCACATTCCCTGATCATGCAATAAATTCCTCCCCCAGAGCTCTGGTCACTGCTGTCCTCATCTGGACAAGATAATTTAAGATAATAATTTAAGATTTTAAGATAATTTAAGAATGGAAGGGAGTCTCTAACTATCTTTTTCAGTCTTTGGGTTCTACAAACAAAAATAGTTTTTGTTTCAATACTATGCCATAACTCAAAATATCTGTATTATCATACCACTATTTCTAAGTATCATCAACAACAGAAATAGAAGAAACCATATTAACAAATTTTCTAACTTTATACCTATAACATTGATTTTAATATCTGGGAAAAGCCAACAATATAAAATATATTTATAACACCAGGGGAGCAGAGCTGAGGCCACAACTCCCTCCCCGTGTGGCTGTGGAGCAGCTGCTGCCTCCCTGGATCTCCTTATCCACTTGGATTCCTCCTGCCAGCTCTTTCCAGCTTCTCTCAGAACATTCCTGCTTTGGGATTTGTCCTGGCAGTTTCCTGGGATTTTTGTGTCCCCTTCCTGTGGGAGGTGTCCCTGCCCACATCAGGGTGTTGGAATTGGGGGATCTTTAAGGTCCTTTCCCATCCAGACCATTCCATGATTCCGTGATTCTGCCGGGGGCCAGGAGAGCTCCGAATGCTCCAGTGGCATCGGTCACAAATCAGAGGCACCAGACCCAGCTGGACCAGGGGATGGTTGGAGTTCCTTCCAGCTTTTTGGGGTCCCTGCCTGCTTTTTGGGGTCCCTTTCTTGCTTTTTGGGGTCCCTGCCTGCTTTTTGGGGTCCTTTTCTTGCTTTTTAGGGTCCCTTTCTTGCATTTTGGGCTCCTTTCTTGCTTTTTGGACTCCTTTCTTGCTTTTTGGGGTCCCTGCCTGCTTTTTGGGGTCCCCTACTGCTTTTTGGGGTCCTTTTCTTGCTTTTTGGGGTCCTTTCCTGCTTTTTGGGGTCCTTTCTTGCTTTTTGGGGTTCCTCCTGCTTTTTGGGGTCCCTTCTTGCTTTTTGGAGTCCCTGCCTGCTTTTTGGGGTCCCTTCTTGCTTTTTGGGGTTCCCTCCTGCTTTTTGGGGTCCCTTCTTGCTTTTTGGAGACCCTGCCTGCTTTTTGGGGTCCTTTTCTTGCTTTTTGAGGTCCCTTTCTACTTTTTGGGGTCACTTCCTACTTTTTGGAATCCCTTCTTGCTTTTTTGGGGTCCTCTTCTTGCTTTTTTGGGTCCCATCCTACCTTATGGAGTCCATTCCTGCTTTATGGAGTCCCTTTCTGCTTTTTGGGATCTTTGCTTGCTTTTTGGGGTCCCCTCCTGCTTTTTGGAATCCCATCCTGTTTCCTGGAGTCCCTTCCTGCTTTTTGGGGTCCCCTGCCTGCTTTTTGGGGTCCCCTACTGCTTTTTGGGGTCCCCTCCTGCTTTTTGGGGTTCCTCCTGCTTTTTGGGGTCCCTTCTTGCTTTTTGGAGTCCCTGCCTGCTTTTTGGGGTCCTTTCTTGCTTTTTGGGGTTCCTCCTGCTTTTTGGAATCCCTTCCTCCTTCCTGGAGTCCCATCCTGTTTTCTGGAGTCCCTTCCTACTTTTTTGAGGTCCCTTTCTACTTTTTGGGTGTCACTTCCTACTTTTGGAATCCCTGCCTGCTCTTTGGGGTCCCCTTCTTGCTTTTTTGAGTCCCTTCCTGCATTTTTTGGGTCCTTTCCTGCTTCTTGCTTGTAGTCTCCTTGTTCTCCCCTCCAAGCTGGCAAACAGGGATGATGAAAACAAGGAACAAACTGCTGTCCTGGCAGGAAATTGGGATATTTTGGATGAGTTTTTGCTGCAGTTTCTCCTCCTGCCCTTTGCCAGTGGCGAGTCCTGCTCCAGTGCTTTGACCTCCGGCTGTTGCTTTGTCGTCTCTTCCAGAGCCTCTCGGAGAAATCCTGCAAGGTGTTCCGCATTTTCCGGCAGTGGGAGAGCATGAATTCCTCCTGAATTCCAGAAACCGGCGCGGGGGCATCCGGAGAGAGAGAGAGAGAGATCGATCCAAACCTCTCGGTGGTTCCAGCTCCGCGCCTCGGGAAGGGGAATCTGCGGAAACTCCAAACGGCCTCCTTGGCATCTCCCCTTCCCTGGCTGCCTTCCTGAAGCTCCTGCCTTCACAAACTGCTGCTGTGTCCCCTGGGCTCCAGAGGGGCTGGACAGCCCTTCCTGGAGCTGGGAATGTGACGGGGGGACACCGTCACCTCCCGAGGTGTCCGCGGTGTCCGGCCGCCTCGCGACGCCAGGTGGGAATAAACATTTCATTTTTGTTGTTTTTTTTCTCCTTTTGCCTTCCTGCTGGCGTGGTGCTTTTTTTTTTTCCCAGGGCAGGAGGAGCTCTGGATCTGGTTTAGCTCTTGGATCCCTCGGGATTCTTCTCCTTATGGGATCCACGTCCATTTCCCGCTCCACATTTTATTGTCTCCTGTTGTTGGGGTATTTTTCCATTGCCTCAATCCCTGCCCTTGTGTCCCTCTGCTGATGGCCAGTTTGGGGTGATAAATCCCCCAGGTTGGAGGGTGGGATGCAGCCAAAACTTGGGAAAAGGTGAGATTCCATGGCTTGGGCTGCTGGGAAAGGCGTGGTGTCATCTCCATCCTTGAGGATATTGAGGAAGGGGCTTTGGGAAAGGCTGAGATTCCACAGGCACGGTTGGATCTCCTCCCTGCAGGTCTGGGAATGTGGGAGGGATGGCACAGGGATACATCATTCCTTTTTTTTTATTATTTTATTATTTTTTTTGAGGAAAGGATCTCCTGCCTCCATTTCCCCGGGTTTCCGAGGTTTCATCTGTGACATCCCCTCAGATGGATTTGGAGATTCTGGGAATGCAGGGGCTGCCATGCTCAGGGCTGAACCCCAAAACTTGGGGGTGCACCCACCGACCTGGGGGCTTCTCCTGGGATCCAGCGTTTCCTCTGGGGCAGGAATCCCACGGGAAGCAGCGGGGCCTGAATTTGGGTGGATTCCCTTCCTTATTAAGGGGGTTCTAATTACGGGGCCCTAACGAGGGGCTGCTTCACCCCACGGCCCTGCTGGGCTGGGACTTGGGGTGGAAATGGGGACACCCCAAATCCAGAGGGGCGAGGATGGGCTGGGAAGTGCTTGGGATGGGCATGGAAGAGCCTCTTTTCCAGCTCTTTTCCACAAATCCCCCATCCCCAAGAGCTCCCCACGGTCTCCCCATTCTTTACATCCCCCTGGAACTCTGGTTTCCCAATTTCCAATGGTTTCCAGCAGTTCCCTGTGGCTCCCTACATTCCCTACATTCCCTATCCATGGATTCTCCTGGCTCCCCCCAATCTCTGTTTTTCTCCACAATCAGGGAGCCACCCCTCAAATCCTGGGATGCACCCAATCCAGGGAGGATGATATCCCCATTCCAGGGTGGGAAAGGCCAGCCACAACCCCTCCATCCCAATTTCCAGAGCGAGGAGTGCTCAGAGGATCCCCAAAATTCCCTCAGCACCCACATTCCAAGGTTTGGGTGCTGTAAAAGAGGCCTTAAAGTATTCCAAAAGGGAACAGGGTGTTGTTGTAGTCCCTGATATCCTGGAATAATCCCTGTTGCAAAACTGGTGGTTCACAGGTGGAATAGAAGCATTCCAAGAAATTACAGTAAAATCCTTGTTTTCCCCTCCCAGTTCTCCCAGTTGCTTGGAACCAGTCAGTCAGGGAATATGGTGGTCTGGGAAATCCAGGATCCTCTATCCCAAATTTCCCCGTTGATCTGCTCCAATATAACCCCGTTCTCCTGCTAAATTCCCCGTGGAATCTGGGGTGTGGATTTGAGTCCCCTCAGGTGGTGTCACCTCCTGCTCCTGCCAGACTCGGGGCATGTTGGGGCATTAAATGGAGGAGCTTTTTGGGATTCTTTGGCTGTGTCTCCTCCCCACAGGGGAAGGAAGCACCGGGGCAGATTTATGGGATGATGCCGGGGATCAGGAATGCGGGGTGTGGAGGTTCCACACCGGAATCCCATCGGTGTGGGAGACACCCATTAGTGCTGTCATCATCCGGGTGGGTAAACTGAGGCACCGGGAAATGCTTTGCCAATGTTACACCGGAAATCCGCAGTGGTGACTCCCGCTGTGGGCTCTGGCCAGTCGCCACATTCCCGCTTGGATTGAACGGGATCGCCGTGGGCAAACTCCACGTTCTGTGGGGTGGTTCCCTGACCCCCGTGGGAACGGGAAATAGGGGAATATTGGGAGCCATTGGGAATTGTGGAAAAACAGTGGAAATGGCAGAGCCATGGGGAATTGCAAGGCCCTGACATAGGTGCATAAAATACCGTATTTTATGAGGTGGTTCCCTGGCTGTGGTAGGAACCAGCAAAATGGAAATGGGGGAATAAGAGGAGACAGAATTCATGGGGAATGGGGGAGACACGGGGAACACGTGGGGGAATTCCGGGAAATATTGGAAAAGAAGGAACTGAAATTAGCGGCCCCAGCGGGGCCTCGAACCCGCAGCCCATCCATCGCTTCCCCTCCCTCTCCGCCTCCCCCTCTCGTGACTACAACTCCCGGCGTGCCCCGGGGCCGGCGGGGCGTTGAGGGCGAGGCCAATGGAAGCGCCGCGGGGCGGTGACGTCACCGCGGGTGACGTCAGGGGTCCAGAGAGAGGCTGGGGCAGAGGCGGCCGGAGCGGCTGAG